TGCAGGTGTAGACACCACTTGAGAGGAAGGATAACATAGGTCTTATAAAGAGAGATCATTTTTGCCTATTTTTGCTTTTTCCAATTTCCTTTATAACATTGTTTTTCAGTTGGAAAAATGATCAATCAATAATTTTTTAAAATGAAACCCATTTAAGAATTTTTGAAGGATGAGTAATGATTATACATGTATATAACATTTCACATGTATAGACAACAATAGTTGCCCAATCAAGAGAATCCACACCATTTTTCACACCAAAGTAATAAAGCAACTGTGGCAAAATCTGGTATGACCAAATCCAAACATAAACCAAAGGTTTCAATGGAAGATCAGATTTCAAATAAATAGGCACATACATGGTGCTACAGATTAAATTGAAAGACTGCAGCAATGACACAAAAATAAAAAATTGATTGGAAATAAATATGCATACATTCAGTTTGCAAGTGCATTGCAAAAGAGCATGTAAGGCCAAGTTTGGCATATTGTAAAAAAGTCAAAAAGTTACTCAAAAAGTTAAAAAGTTAACACTATTCACCAAAAGTCAACAATTACGGCTGCACAACCCCCAATTCTAATTTTTCCCCAAAAATCAATTTTTACAATTTTGTATTACACATTTTCCCATAAAAAGTCAAAAAGTTAACCCAAACATCCATATTTTCTTCCTCAATTTTTTAGTCCAAAAAGACAAAAAGTGCACTTATTTAGGACACCCCAAACAACTCCTAAATATGACAGAAGACATGAACACCTAAACATTTAAAGGCATACATAAGCATGAGTGAGAGATGCATAGGACAGTATGGACAATCATGAGTAAATTGTAAAGATTTGACAAAGCATAATTAGGGCCAATCTCTATTGTTATTATTATTTTTAAAAAGGCCAAAATAATATACAAAAGTAAATTATCCTGATGAGGTGAAATCAGCCATGCATGAAACAGAAATCGAACCCAATAGAGAGATACAAACCAAAAATCGAGATGCAGAAATCGAACTTGAATAGCACAGTATGTCATACTCCATCAAATTTAAAAATAAAAATAAAAATAATAATAGTAAAATTAAAAATAACCTTACAAAGTTACCATGTATTGTAAATGAATAACATAAAGCAAGTCAGTCAACTCTTATAGGCCATCTGACTTTCTAGAAGTTGGCAAGTTCGTCCACTAGATGCAGCCTGTATCAGAAAAGGAGGCATTATTATATTAGTTTGAAAGAATTAAAAACAATTAGGAAAGTTTAAAAATTAAGATTCGTTTATTATGATTAAATCACGAATTAAGACTCAAGAACATAATAAAGTTGAATTGAATATCAATTTCATCATCATGTTGAGTTATTCATTTATTCTATTCACGAAGTAGGGCAAACAGAGGAGCGAACTTGGTGAGCCAATCGAAGCACAGTTTCGCAGTTCTCAATCGGATCAATTGAAAACCTTACCAAAACACTGAAGTGGGGAAAAAAACTCAAAAGTTCCAACAAAAAAATGCAATAACTGCAATAATTAGGTAGTTGCTCTCAACAATGGCTTTAATCGAGAAGGAGGAAATAAACCAATAAAGGGGGAAAAAAAAAAGGGAAACAAACACATATTACTAAACCAAATCTTACAAACTTGATTTAGAGCAATCCAAATACCTAAAAAATCTTAATTAGCAAATCAATTTGAGGTTTAGAAAAACAAAAATCAAAACCAAAATGAGTAATCTGTTATATGATCAAAGCCCTAACTCTTTGGGATATATGATCAAAGCCACAAAACTATACTGAAGTCGAAAAGGGTTGTAAGGGAATCTTACCTTGCGATAAAGAGGAGCGTGACGAATGAGGAGGGGGAGGAGCGTCGGTAGCGAAGAGGGTGGGAAGGAGGAGCGTCGGTAGCGAAGAGGGTGGGGTTTTTTTTGCTTCTGTCGAAGAAGAGAAGAACAGAGAGAGAGAGAGAGAGAGAGAGAGAGAGAGAGAGAGAGAGGGCAGGTGGGGAGGATGGGATCAGACGTGGGTATATTTAGGCGGCAATCATCATTCATTTTAACCAATCTGAACCATGGATATAAACTTAAGATTCATCTCAACCGTTAATATCAAATGTATCTCACACACATTTTATACATTTTCAAAAACCTTCTTCCCTTATTATATAGATTGGTGGGGACTCGATTGGCCA